AACGCCGCTAAAATAACGGCACTTCACATACAAATGCCGCTATTTACCGCGACACGTGTCTAGGCGGCACTCTGCGTGGCATTTTTTCACAAACGCCGTAACCTTATAGTGGTGTTAATAAACGCCACTAAACAGTTAAAAAAACGCTACTAAAAACCAAAACCCCTGTAGTGATAGAGCGAGTACAAAATAAACAGTTAATTAGAAAAGCTCAGAATTATTTTACTTTACTTAAAAAAGATTTTATACATTTATTATATCTAATTAATTCTTTATCTTTTAATTTATATTTACATAAGTTTTTATTTTAAATAAAAGATTAATTTATATTAAAAACTTATTTAAGTATAAATTAAAGATTAAAACTTTATTTAAATATAAATTAAAAGCTACATTAAACTATAAAGATTTATTTAAATATAAAATTAAAATTAAAAATTTTATTATTTTATCTTTCAAAATTCCACCCATAAAATTCCTAAAGTCATCATAATTTTTTAAAAGTACTCTTGAGCTAAACAAATTTTGTGCCTCTTAGGAATGAATTGCTCTACCCCAAATTATCTTTTCACCAAGAATGGTGTATAACTCATTACCCCCTATAGGCCCAAAAGTGGAACCATAGTCTCCTATCCACACTGATATAACATGAGCTCTCGATTCATCTATGGGACTAACCATGTCACCTCAATGTTTGCCAGCCTTTGTAGGAAACCCATTCCTTCTTAGACTTTTACTCTAGCCATTCACTTTCACAAAATTCTTTAATGGGTGTTCGATTATGGAAGTAAAGCTTCGAGAATGCACTTTTCTAGCAATTTAAATGGCTTTTCATCCATAAATACAATAATGGTACACACTTTATGAGGTAACCTCCATTTTGGCAACAATAGCTCAATGATTTGATAGTCTCTACTAATATTGATGGTGAAAGATTGCAACCATTCTCCACATTCTTAAAAAGGTTAACCACTGCTATCTCTTTGTAGCCAGTATGGATGAAAAGTAGACTAGTTGTTCCATAAATTCCATGAAAATCCCTTTATTGACGATTGTTTAAGGCAAATATTCATTATGCAACTTTATGGTATGCACATAAATCATGCAAAATGGAACAGACAAAAAGAAAGATTAATTAGTCCACTGGAAAAAAAAAACAAATGAAATAAATTAGAGTATCATATATAATAAGAAAGAATGAATCCTAAACTTCTTGTCCATTTTAAGGGAAAGGACATGGCTTTACCTATAAGTTAGGTTTTTTTAGAGTTCGTTATATATGGTTTAAGGTTGATAATCTAAAGGTTCCCAAATTGCTCTTTATATATTTGTCCATCACAGACTAGTAAAGCACCAAAATCTTCATCCATTATAGGCTACAAGTGGAAAGGTTCAATTTAAGTAAGAGTATTTCGTGTGCCATTGTGGAGGCATTAAAACCTCACAAAAGTGTAAGTATTTTGCACTTTTCTAAAGGGACGAAACTTAAGTATAAAGTTCATGTTATATACATACATATGAATGACATAATAAATACAGTTTAAAAAATAAATAAATAAATAAAATCTTTTTAAAAAATCAAATTTATTAGGCTTTTGGATAACATAAATTGATTTGCTAGCCTAACTCATGCTATTTCTAATTGAAATCATTAAACTGTTATAACGTACAAATCCATGAACTTGACTGCTAGACATGGTCTTAGAAGTTACCATCAATCTTTTTAGATTAGGTATGATTAGCCACATGATCAAATTGATCCCATTTTAAAACCCAAGCTTGACTCAAGTATCTTTAAAAGGTAGATTCTAACGTACAAAACCAAGCTAGATCCAAGAGTACGATTATGCATGAAAAATGTTATAACACTCTTATAACGTCTATCAACGGATAGTATTAACTGTTTTCGTAATATCCATTAAGTGTTTTTAAAATTTAAATGCATTGGAAATTACTTTCAATTAACTTCAATATTTTCACATAAGGAATTCCTTCACCTCAAGAGTATACAAGAAAACAATTGTTTTTCTTACAGAGACAATGTCGTTGAATTATTTAACATTTACATTTTTTTTATGAAACTCTTAGAAAATTTTAATTTTAAAGAAATTTTGATAATTCAACCTTTTCTTCAAAATTTTTTGAAATTAATTTTTTGTTTAAAGAAAATTGATATTTCAACTTTTTTCTCAAATTCTTAAATTTTTTATTTAAGGAAAATTCAATATTTTGCTTTTCCTTAGAATTTTTAAAATTATTTTTTATTCAAGCAAAACATTGATACTTTAACTTTTTTCTAATTTTTTGAAATTATTTTTTATTAAATAAAATTTAATATTTCAACTTTTTCCTTAAAAACTTTTTATTTAATTTAAGAAAAAATTGATATTTCAACTTTTTTCTCAATTTTTTCCTCAAGTTTTCTTTAAATTTATCTTAAGAAAATTTTAATATATTAACTTTTTCCCTAATTTTAAATTTTTTCTTACTTAAAAAAATATTTAACTTTCCTTTAAAAAAATTCTTTGAAAAAGAAAAGACATATTCAAAAAATAAATAAATAATTAAATAATCTTAATTTATCAAATAAAAATAAATAAACAAATAAATAAAAAAAACTGAGGGCTCGACTCGACTTAACTTAAGAAATGACTTGATTGCAAGAACAAAAGCTAGTTAAAATGGCTGAGAGCTTGGCTCGACTCGACTCAACTCAATAGCAACTGAATGAAACTAGTTACAAAACTGGGTTGGCAACAAGTCGAGTTAGACTTGATAAAACACGCAAATCAACTCCAAAATAATAAAAAAAAAACCTAAAAGACGTCGCTTATGCAGCGTATAAAACCCCAAAACCCTTCTTTTTTCACCAACTTTTCTTTTTTTCTCTCATTTCCTTTCTGTTTTTCTAAACAAAAAAAAAAAAAAAATTGATGGCCAGATTTTGCAAACTTGGTCAGAAGTTCTTCAGAGTTCTACCAAAATCTGAAAATTTTTGTTGAAAGTTAGAGATGTTATCAAAAAATCGTTGAAAACTGAGAAAATTTGTTGAAATGTTATCGACAAATTCAACGAAAAACTAGATTTTACAAAAAGAATTTTTGAAATTTCTAGAAAATAAAAAAGCCAAAAAGTATCAATTTAAACCTTCTAGCTTCTTGAATACTCAAATGGCAAACCAAAACCAAAACTCCCCAAAATTTTCAAAAATCTTTATGCAAAAACTTCTCCTACTTTACTTCTGTAAAATTTTTTTTTCTTTTGTTGCTCTAATTGATCTCTATGTTATTGTCTTGTTGTAATGATGTACTATTTATTTATAGGAAAAAAGTTAAATCTCAATCAATATTTTATTCAAGATTGGATTCTTCAAAAGGCTCTACCTTATCACCAGATTGAAAATAATGTTTTTTCTTTAAAAAAAACCTTTATTCAATTTCGAAATTAAGATATGAATTATCATTTGAGGATAAACTCCCTTATTTCCTTAGTTTAATTATCTAATTTCATCAGCATCCTTGTCTCTTTGATTTCGGCTGATCATCCATTTTTCAATTATTTCTTTTTTAAAAAAAAATAATTAGATAAAATAAAATAAAATATTTAAAGATAAATGAATTAAAATTAAAGATAAACTATAATAAAAATCCAAAATCAAATAAAAAAAAGACTAATAAATAAATAATATATATATGGATAAATAAGATAAAAATAATAAAATATAAAAACATAAAAACATAAAAACATAAAAACATAGAAATAAAATATAAAATATAAATAATTAATAATTAAGCTTGAATTAGAATGAAACCCAATTGATTTGGACTTGGATTAAATCCAAATCAAGGTAATTTAGACCTCGTTTATTTAATCGCGTACCGTATAAAGTGTCTACATACTTAGTACCTTTCACCCGAAAAGTACCACCATTAATGCTGATATAGAAGTTGGTCCACCGACGGTCTCCACAACCTCTATCATTGAAACGAAAAGTTAACAGCACTTGGATGAACATATAATGCTGACACTGTCCTCAATGTTCAGGTTCCACTTTCAGTTGTTTTTATTTAACTGAAAATATATAATTTATATGCTGATAATGTTAAATATAAAATTTTAAATTTTTATTCAAACCTTATATGATTGGAAAGTATGTGACCCATCTACCATTAATTTATAGTTTTATATATCTTTCGTTCGGTAAGAAATTAATTATATTACTTTTTTGCTTTTATTATTTTCTTCTTTAGTTTAGAAAAATTCATCAGACATGACATAGGACGAGAAAATTTTTATTCAGTCATAAAAATATCACATGTTTTTCAAAATTTTTCTTTAAATTTTCTCTAGTGCCAATTAAAATTTATTAAGTAAATTACTTGAAGATTTTCAAGTGATAAATCATATATTGTCTTGTGATATTGATGACATTATTAGAAAAAAAAAATCAAAATTCTCATGTTATTAACTAAATTGTGAAATACACAATGTATCATTTGACAGTTCAAGATAAAAACACGTGATTTCACCAATCAAATCTCAAAAAATCATAGATATCCTGTTTCCAATCAAATTTCATTATCAAAATGGTTAAATTCTTATAGAACTTTCTGTTCATTGCATTATCAATGCAATGCTCCTCAAAATCTTCCATAAAATAATAGATGAATCGATTTATTTTAAGGTAAAATATGTAACTGGTCACTCAATTATGATAATATTTATAAAATAATTATTAAACTTTTAAAATTTTCAATTTAATCATTAGAATTTGAGTAAATTTTTTTTCTCACTCAATAATTAATTTCTAAAAAACTTCATTTTTCTTATACATGATAAGAGTCAACTCAAGATCTCTAAAATTAGAATAATAAATTTTAACTACTAGAGTATTTTCTAAAGGACAATTTGATCGTTTGTAGCGAAGAAAATATAATTAACATCTTCGTTTACAAGAAAATTTAATCTACGCACCAAAATGGAAATGTAGTCCCCAACTTATTGACTAGTAGTTAAGGAGGTCATAAGAGGATACAAAGATCCTTAAATCTCTTTCCTCTTTTTTCATGGTCTATGCCCCTTCTATATAAAAAAGTACAAACTCCAAGTCTCAACCCCAAGAAGTCCTACACAAATAAACAAAAACTAATGCCAACGAAGTAGACTTGAATATGGTGGAAGAAGGAATCCCATATTTTCCTCTTTTAAACAACCCTTTCAGAAATGGCAAGAAGCATAGCACCACCCATAGGCTGCACAAGACCTCCCCTAGCCCTACTCCCTGCCCAACATCATCAACTAATGGTCGCAACCCTAAGAAAAAGGCGAGCAGTGCTGTCAGGTGCACAAGCAAAATGGTCGTGCCCGGCACAAAAATTGGTGACTCATCGAAAGTAAATATTGTGGTACCGTCAGTTTCGTCACCGTCGGAATTAGATTGATCTTTTTTTGTAACTTCAAAAACTGTATCAGACAACCCTAACAGTTTGAGGACGACAGTTAAAAATCCAAATAAATACGCCGAGGTTGCTATTATTCTTCCCATTTTCATGTTATTCCACCATGCTCGGATGGACATGCCGGTTTTCAAGTATTCCCTGAGAGTGGCCAGGTTGTAAATCATAAAAGTTATAACTGGAATCAATATGGCTGGCTCCTGGACCTGCATATATATATTCATTGTTAAACATGTTAGCTATTAGAAACACATAAAGGTCACTCTTTTAAAAAAAAAAATCATTTTTACTTTCCCTAAATACTTTTTTTTTTTTAAATCAGAAGTAATTTTTTTAAAGAAAATTTACAATCAATTAAAGTTAAATATTGATTTATAATTTCTCGAATTTTATACAAGATTAAAATTAGACATTGCATATAAGACGGAAGGAGTAGTTTATATAACTCATACAATTACGTTATACTAATTTGTTTCAAAGATAAAGTAATGATATTTAATCAGGAAAATATTCCTTTGAACTTCATCACCAAAAAATGCTATCTAAATTTTGATTACTAAATATTACTAAGCTTCTTTTGTTTTCTTATTGCATGTACTTGTTTTCGGACAGTTGTATATGAAACTTGAACTATATGTGGCCTTGATTTGATGTCAAGAAAGTAAAACATGGCACCGAGGTGAGAGACAAAGACGTAACACATAACTTGATGTCCATTAATTGATTCTACCTCATTCATTTTTTGGGATCTATCTATATAAACTTAAAAAAAGACATTTACGAAGGCATATAAAATTCAAATTGCATCCCATTATTCTATCCCTTGACTACAATGTGCTATATATAAAAATAAAATAAAAAGAAAACATATAAGGACCGACCCACTGTCAATTCTATACGACTATTATACTACATGTAGTTACTAGATTGTCCTCACCTTGGGCAAAAAATGGGAGTTGGCGATGATGCAATATGCAGGCAGAGCAGTATAGCATAGCTCAGGAATTGAGGAGACGCCCCATAAAAACAACCAGATGTAGAATAACAACATCCTGAATTGGAGCTTTCCATTCAGGGTGGCAAATATAGGGCTGTTTTTGCTAACAAGGATTTCAAACAAGCCTATAGCCCACCTTTTCTGTTGACTCATTACTGCCGGACCCGCAGACGGCGTACACCCTAGAAAGGCCGGTGGGTGGGGTGCGAGAAAGGTGGATTTCCACCCTTTCTTGTGAATCTCCAACCCCGTAAGGGCATCTTCAGCCATGGATCCATATATCCATCCAACCTGAAGTAAAAGTAATCAATTATACTCGAAATTCAAGTTTTACACTTTACAATCAAATCAATATATACTCTGCTACTAATATTTTAGTAGGTTTATTCTACTAACTTTTGTCCCCCAGCTTGTACCAAACTCATAGCCACAACCTGCAACCGGGAATGCTGCCTCAAGAGAATCTGAAAGGTTGTTTGGAAAATCCTTCTTCCCTTTCAATGCATAAATTGCTGATTCTGAAAACTCCTTTGATTTGCCAAACACTTTTAACTGTTCACAATCATCTAATTTTCCTACATATAGAAAAGAATAAAACATCACGGTCCCATTATTTTAATAACCATTGGAATATAGTTAGAGTTATAAAACGAAAAGAAATTATTACTTTAGAACAAATTTCATTGAATTTTGTTATTTTACTTTAAAATTGATTTTTAAATAAAAAATAATGAAATTGAAATAAAATTTTCACTTGCAATAATGAAATATTCCATGAAATATTTTAATTCTATTACTTTTTATCCAAAAATTAACGAAAGTAAAAATATTAAATCATAGCATAACAACAATGGTCTCTTACTCCCTTAATTTAAAGATAGAATGTTCATCAAGTATATACCTTCAATTGATGTATGATTTCTTCCCTGATTTTCTGCGTTATCAGGCCATAGACCATAGATAACTTTTCGTCTGTGAAAACATCCTGTTCCGCCATATAAGGGTCCTTGGATTCCCGCTATTCCAGGGAACACATACTAACACATCAACATGTAAATTCTCTTAGTGAATGAAGCAATTCCAAAAAGGAAAGAAGAAAACAGAGAAGTAGAAAATTCATTGAGGTTCATGAAAATTTTATATGGCTCACTTCAAAAAAAATATCAAATTGGTTTCCGTAGGGATCATCCTTCGGTCCATCATAAAAGCGTTGAGGATGCTGAACAAATGCGATTTCACTTTCACTCTTGGAACCGAGAAGATGACACATTGTTTGACGAACAACTTGTGGATTGTTCACAAACATATCGCAGTCTACGTTCAGCATGAAGGGCGCATTCGTCATCAATCCTGACACTCTACTCTGTTTTTCAAACGAAAACCCAAGGCTGATTTATTATACCTAACAAATTATTTGGCCTCAAGGGGAATTGATTTTTAGTTAATTACCAGAACGTTCATGGCACCGGCTTTGAAATGATGTGGCTGTTTCGGCCGTTTCTCTCTGGAAATGTAAACCAAATGTGGCACATCATCATCCCGAGAGCTTTGCTTGTTCTCTGCTATGATCTACAAGAAAACAATTCGAATGATTCCAAATTAATAACCAAATATACATTATTTTGTTTCGATTAATTAGAACAGTGGAGAACATTTCAAACTTAAGACAGTCTTTTTTCTACAATGAGTTACCTTGATGATCGTTGGATGGTTGCTGCGTTCAATCTCGAAGAAAACAGCAAACTCACCACTTAGATCACATGGAGTTGATTTTCGTCCTGCTTCCTCTATTTTTAGGCTAAGGTGCTCGTACTCAGCCTACATAGATTAGGATATTACACTCTGACAAAATCTGAAGATACTTTTTAATTTATTATTAACAACATTAATTTTGCTCTCGCAACTTTGGAATTGGGTACCTTGATCTTTTTCCATTCTTGTTTGAACTCAGAATTTGCAGAGGATGATGTAGGATCGTCCAAGAAGAATCTAAAGGGAGCCCTGAGTTGAATTTTGTATTTCTTACAAAATGGGACCCAAAGCTTGGCAAATTTCGAAGCTTCCACCAGAGAGTAAAAGGTGAGAAGGGAGCAGCCGTCGTCGGATACATAGCAAGCAAGTTTATGAGCTGGATAATCAACAGCCAACAAAGAGAGAACGGTGTTTACAGTCATAATCGGCGGCTCTACCACGGGGTCTGCTGTCGTCACAAACATGTCCACAGGGGGAAGCTCCGGAAACCTGACAACAAAATATATGAACAAATTATTTATAATAAACAGTAACAGAAAGATAATGGTCATTGTACCTCTGTTCAAGGTTTTCTGGATACGTTTTGAATTCCACAGGATTCCATTTGGAGCTGACATTGAGAAACCAGTTGAAAGTGAACCATGACTCGCATAAGAAAGCAAGGAGCCAGACAAATCCATGGTTCTTAAGAGCAAGGAGTCGATAAAACAGGAGGGAAGCGAGAAGGAACAATAGAGTGATATCCAATGCTCTGTGGATAGTGTTTTTACGAGCAATTTTTTCATACAAGGGGAGACAGAATTCCTTGGGTGCCATAGAAGAGTGCGTAGAGTGCTGCTATGGTATGTGTTGTGTGTTCATAAAAGATTTTGAGGCCTCCTTTCTAACTTTATAATGGTTATATTTAAAAGAGATTTATGTTTTAATAAAATTGCATTATTTTTCAATTAATAATCGTAAAAAAGTTGCATTTTCTTTCTCAATTTTCAGTTTTGGAATCAAGCAATTTCTATAATTATAAGTAGAGATATATGTAACTAATTCAAGCGTTTTCAACTTATTTCACCTATAGATTAAAATACTATATTTGTTGTTTCACAATTCACATGAAGTATGGATGGATATCTTAGGCTTGTCATAAGATATGCTTTCACTCGTGTAGAAAAAGATCAAATTCAATTACAACAAATTTTGAATCAATAATTATATCTATATGAAATAATTTTCTAAAAAATTATTTGATTGCTATAAGTGGAATTTTTAGATTTATAAGAGGAATTGAAAAAATAATACATATCCTTAGATACATTAAAAAATAAAAATACAAATATATATCAATCTCTTATTTCATAAAATTTACATTGGTAGTATATAAAAACAAACTCATATATTATCAATGTTTAGATATTTAGTTTTTCTCGATAATTTAAATCAATGAAGCAACATATAATGACAAATAGTATTAGGAGTAGTCCCTATGTATTCAAATTAATATAATAAAAAAATATACTCCATCTGTATCAAAATATTTATCATATATTGATTCTCACAGAGTTTTAAAAAAATTTGATTTTAATGTATTCAATATTAAAATTTAAATATTTTTTATAAAATTAAAGTTTCATAATTTTTAATATCAAAAAAAAAAATCTTAAAAAATAATTTTAAAATATATAAAAAAAGAGTTTTAAATATTAAAAAAAATAGGACATAATTTTAAGACATCCAAAAAAAATGTACAAAAAAAAAAGGTAAGAGGAAATATTTGTCAATCTCTTAACTCCTTTCAAGTTTATAAATTTTACTTAGGAACTTCATGTTCTTAAAGGGAATAAGATTTGATGTATCACAACTGGAGATGACAAAGTTTTACACTTTTTTTTAACCTTCAATATAGGCTCAATAAGAGAGATAAGTGGAAAAGATAACCCAAAAAAAAAGGGGTTTAATCTTATTCATTAAGTTTGTTAAAATTAAAGATTAAAAAAAACGTAAACCTTTTTTTTATAAGTTGAACCCTTCTCATTTATTTAATATATTAATTTTACTCATTTGGATATCACATGACCTCTAATGACTTCTCTTAATTTTTTACTTTTTATTTTTTATCTTTCTTTTATCTTTTTTTTTTATTTTGTCATATTTAATAAATATTTTTTTATTTTTTAAAATTATGTTTAGGGCCATTTAAATTTTTTATTAAACGAAACTTTTTCTTTTTAGATACTTTTCTTTTTTAAAGTAGATAATTTTGTAAGAAATTTATACAAATAAAGGTGTTGATGTGGCATCCGTATTTGTTTTTCAACTCTTGGCTTTTTTTAATTTTTGGATTTTTAGTTTTAGTCTTTTTTTTTTAATTTATACATTAAATTTTATAAAAAATTAAGGCTGATAAAAGTGATCTCATGACACCCCATTTTGATTTTTTTTTTTTACTTTTTTTTTATTTTGACCTTTTTAATTAGATAAATTTTGTAATAAATAAGTCAATAAAGATATGAATAACAAAATAATCTATGTTTGATAGGTTTCAACTCATCTTTATCTAATAAGTATGTTTTTTTTAATTCGAGATCGTGTGAGTTTTTTCTTTTTAAAAATTGGGATTAGACTGGAGGTAGGTTTAGGCTATTTCGTTTCACCTTGAGTATAAGAAAAATATTTTTTATTTTTCATTTTGTATTTTAATTTGATATTTATGTATATGTATTATATTAATAAAATTATTATTTTATACATTCTTTTAATAAAAATACTATATTAATAAACAATTAAGATATAATTTATATTAGAAATTTTTTATAAACATTGTACTAAATTTAGATCATTTAATTAATTTTGGATATATACGGGTAGGATGCGGGTTATAAATTTATGTATTGGGTTGAGATTGGCTATAAAAAAATAATAATTAGATATCAAATAGAAATTAGAATCGAGTTGAATTATTAAAAAAAAAAAAAAGCAAGAGTTAAGATGAGCATAGGCCTATCCAAACCAAATCCTTATCATCTTAAATGGAAGTGTCTATATAGTATCTCATTTGACTTTTTTTAATTTTTTTGCTTAAGCATTTTTCTTTTTTTTTTTAAATTGTCTATGTTTGAAAAGATAAATAGGCAACTAAATTGTCAATGTGGCACCTAAATTTTGTTAAAAATGAGATCAATGAAGATTCTGATGGTAAAATAACATGTATCCAATGAGTTAATCTACCAGTCCAATAGGGATGATTATTTTAAAATAGGAGTCAAAGTCATAATAGATATGCGGTATTATGCTTGGTATCTTAATTTAATAAAACAACATATTTATATATAATTAAAATATAATTTCTATTAAAAATAATATTTTCATGAATGCTATATTATTGAATTTATTTTTTTGTCAAGTAGAGTCAAATGCTAGTTATACATTTATATATGTTAGGTTAAATATAAAAAATAATAAACCGATGTCGGGTCAAAATTTGGACGAGCATAAATTTACCCTTACTTAACCCATTGCCATTCCTAAGTGGAGATATCCACATGGCTCTCTTTTCATTTTTTTTTTCTTTTCTTGGATCTTTTTTTTTTAGTTTTAATTTTTTTAATTATCTATTTTAATCTTTTTTAACTATGTTTATAGTGGACATGATTTTGATTTATTATATAAGTTAAGATGTATACATTATTCAAATATTAGTAGATAAATTTTCATTGATCATTATTTTTATTAAAATTGTACACGAAATTATACTTACTAATTTATTAAATTCATCATGAATATTATTAATTATAAATAACAAATTTTAAAACCATAACAACACGCAAGCATATTACTAGTATATATTGAAACCACAAGAAGACTAAAAGTTTCATTGCTATATAACATAGAAAGATGCATAAAGTTATAAGCCGAGGAACCTAAACCCCTTATAGCAATAAAGCAATCACTACAAGCAATACATATCAATGTCATTAATTTGTTTTGGTATCAGTCGTATCGATTGGTACGCTTTAGTTATATCAAAACACAATACATCTAAAGATATTTTTCGTACTAAACCTGGTACTGGATAATATCGATTGTTTTCGTTAGTTTTAACTCGTTTTAGTAAATTTTGGTAGATTAATTTTTTTCATCCAATACATGAATGTGACACTTATTTTATTATTTTTAATTTATCTTTTGTTTTTTGATTATTTTTAACCTAATAAAAATAAAATTAATTAAAAATGACTACTCTTGAAAGTTAGGTTTCTTTATTTTTTATTGTAACTTGCTTTTCCATTATACTTTATTTTTTTCAAATCAAAGTTTATAAATATTTCAATCTTTTTTAAAAAAATAATTGTGCTTTCTTTCTAAAGTTTAATATTCATAAAGTCAAAGGTTTTTTTTTTTGCATCTCTTGATTTATATCTTAATATTTATACGAAAAAAAAATACTCATTTAAATAATATATTATCATATTGAATGTTTAATATTATCATGATAAATTGATGATATAAATTCTTATACTTTTAAACCTATTTATTTGGTTTTTAAAAATATTTATATTTATTCTGTAGACTATTAATAGTATTATCATATATAAATTCATGTATATTTATAAATATATTTATACTAAATTTAAATTTTTAAAATAATACACTAAAATAACTTCTATCAACATATATTATTTTTAAAAAAACTCAAAATATTGTTTATATAGATATTAACAATTGGTAATACTGTAATGGTTACAATTTGATATATTACATAGAATATTAGCTTACTAATGTAAAATGTAAATTCTAGTGGCTTATTGTCAAATGCAACAAAAATGCTAATGATCAAAGATAATGATGAGAATATTATTGTTAAAAGAGTGATTGGGATTGAAGATTTACCAAAAAATTTTATGAGATGATTGTGGTTTGTGAATTAGATGGTCAAAGTAATATTGCAAGTGGAGCAATAAATTGCAAAATTTGTGGATAAATTATTTATTTGGATAATTAAAATTAAAATTAATTTTAAAGTTAAAAATTTAACATTTATTAGAAACATTCTCTAGAGATAAAATTTTATTTTAAGATTAAGATATTCATGGTCAATAATGGATGAGGCTAGTTGACTTTTAAATCTATTATAGCATTGAAAAAAAATTTAATTTAAAATTATAGTATTTAATTTGATTTGAATTGATTTATTTTACTTTTTTTGAATTAAATTTATATATTAAATATATATATTAGGTTCGGATCAAATTTTAAAATCGAAAAGTAAAAAATAAAAATAAATAAATAAGAATGAATTATATATTTTTATTAATTTTTATATATTTTTTAAATTTTTATAAAATAAAAATAATTATTTTACATTAAAATTTTATATTAAAATAATATATATAAAAAAATAAAATTTATAAATCAATAAATCAAACCAAATTGAATCAATAAAATTCAATTGAATTCGAATCGAATTATATGAAAAATCGAGTCAAATTCGAATCAAGTTTTTTTTTTTTCTCATTATTTATCTTCTAAACGGGTATTAAGAAACTGGATAAGGACTTTCATTTTAATTTGTAATTTTGTATTCTTTTCTTAGAAAAATGTGAAAAAATTAAGGGTATTAATTTGGTCAATTCTGTTAATTTCGAATTGAATTATTCAAAATTGAATTAATTGAATTATAATATTTTATTTTCATTAACCGAATTAAATTAATGAATTTCAAAAATTAATCAACTAAATTTAATTCGGTCAATTCAGTTAATTTTTTGGGTTAACTAAATAATAAATACATTTAAGTTAAATTATATTTTAAACTCTTAATTTTTCATATTTTAAACAAATTAAATAAAATTATTC